AAGCTAGGGTAGCTACACCAGTATCAGACAAAAATGGTATTTGTGTTGGTCATCCCTCCACCTCTGTGACTAAATACCTGAGATAAATAACCTGAAGGAAAAAAAATTATTTTGGTTCATGGTTTCCATGGTTTCAGTCCACAGTTGTCTGGCTCCATTGCTTTTTGGCAGAAATCACAATGGGGAGCATGAGGCGCAGCAAAGCTGTTCAGTTCATGGCAAGCTGGAAGGAGAGGCAGAGAGAGGCCAGGGACAAAATAGATTCTGTGAGGGCACCCTCCCAATGACCTATTTCCCCAACAAGACCCCACTTCCCCAACTTCCTCCCACCTCCCAATAGCACATTAAGTTATGACATCATTCACGGATTAATCCATTCACGAAGTCAGAACCTTCACAACCAAGGCTCTACCTTTGAACACTACTGCACTAAGCCTTCAATACATAAGTTTATGGGGGACATTTAAGTAAAGAAACTGTAAGTCAAAAAGTGTTACCAAAAAAAGTGTTACAAGAAATAAAGAAGCACATTAAATATTGATAAAAGGATCAATTCACCAAGAAGGCATAAGAATTCTAAACATATATGAGCCAAATATTAGAGCTCCAAATAATGAAGCAAATATTGTCAGAATTTAAGGGAGAAATAGTTCTACGAAAAGAGCTGGTGACTACAACAGACCACTTTCAATAATGGACAGAAATAAAGAAATAGAGGACTTGAACAATGCCATAATTCAATCATACCTAAGAGACATATACAGAACACTACACCCAACAGTAGTCCAATACACATTTTTTGCAAGTGTAAGTGAAATATTCACCAGGATAGATGACACGGTAGGCCACAAAACAAGTCTTAATGAATTTAAGAAAATTGAAATGATAAAAATGATCTTTTCTAATCTCGATGGAATGGAGCCAAAAACCAATAACAAAGAAAACTCATAATGTGTGAGAATTAACATACTCTCAACAAATGAATTAGAAAAGAATCACTAGGGAAATTACAAAATCTTGAGACAAAAGAAAAACACAACATATGGAATGTAACAAAAGCAGTCCTAAGAAAGAAATTTATAGCTATAAGCACATACATTTAAAAAGGAAATTGGGATAAGGATATATCTCAGTGGTAGAGGACTTGCCTAGCGTGAATGAGGCTCTGGTTTCATTCCCAACTCTGAAGAAAAAGAAAAAGATCTGAAATCAGTAACCCAACTTTACAATTTAAGGATCTGGAAGAAGGAAAGTAAACTAAACTCAAAGCTTTCAGACAGAAATAACACAGCTTAGAGCACAGGTAAATAAAATAGAGGATAGAAAAACAAAAGAGAAAAATCAATGAATTTAAAAGTGATTCTTTGAAAAGATCAATACACCTGATAAATCTTTAGCTAGGTTGACTAAGAGAAAAAAGAGATAAATCTCAAAATATTAAAAGCAGAAACAAAACTGGGGACATTATCAATCTTTTTATGGAAATAAAAATGACTATATGAGAATACTGTGAATAATTATATGTTAATATATTGACAACATAGATGAAATATTCAAATTCCTAGAAACATATAATCTGCCAGAACTGGATAATGAAAAAGGTCCTGAGTTTGACCCCACGTACCAGAAAAAAATATAAAGTAAAAAAAAAAAAATCAATCAGTGTAATATACTCATTAATAAAATGAAGGAAAAAACACATGACCATCTCAATTAATGCCAAAGAGGCAACCAACAAAATTCAGCATCCCTTCTTGATTTAGCATCCCTTCTTCAACATGACTCAGGCTATGTATTAAACACACACACACACACACACACACACACACACACACACACACAGAGCTAATATTATACTCAATGATTAAATATCAAAAAGCTTTCCCTCTAAGCTCAGGAACAAAACAAGGATGCCTGCTTTCAGCACTTCTATTGAACATAGTATTGAATGTTCTGTGTCAGAAAAATTAGGCAATAAAATGAAATAGAAGGAATCTAAATTGGAAAGGAAAAAGTAACATTATCTCTGTTTGCAAATGACATGATCTTATACACAGAACACAATAAAGATTACACGCATACATACATACACACACAGAAACTCTCAGCTAATCAACAAGTTCAGCAAAGTTGCAGGATACAAAATCAACATACACAAATCACAAAAATTCTACACATTAACAGTGAACAACCCAGGGGCCGGGGATTTAGCTCAGTGGTTTCTCTGCCTGCTGAGCAAGCGCAAGGACCCGAGTTTGATCCCTGGTACCAAAAAAAAAACCAAAAAACAAAAAAAACAATGAACAACCCAAAAAAGAAATTAAGAAAACAACTCCATTTGATATAGCATCAAGAGAAATAAAATACTTAGAAGTAAATTTAATAAAGAGGCATGGGAAAATTCTGAAACACTGCTGAAAGAAATTACAGACAAATAAATGGAAAGGCATTCCATTGATTGCAGATTGGAAGACTTACCATTGTTAAGATGAAACTACTGCTTGCTGTCATTTGGTTCTGGAGTGTCCCCCACAGTTCCCTGTGTTAAAGGCTTGCTTCTCCATGGGGTGCTATTGGGAGGTGGTGAATAGTGTTTGAGGTGGAGCCTAGTGGGAGATTCTTAGGTCATTGGGAGCATGACCTCAAAGGGGATTCTGGTCTCTTCTGCCTCCATCCCATTAGATGAATGGTTTTTTCCCACCACATACTCCCTGCCTGGACATGACACAAAACAAAATAAGATAGAAGAGGATCCTTTCACAAATGGAGGGTAGGGGTGTGGTCTGAATGAAGAAATAGGATCAACTTAATTCTCTAGCCTTTAGTAGAGCTGTGTGGACCTGAGTTGATCTGGAGCTAGATGACTAATAACTTTAGAAATCCTGCTAAGAAATGTGCAAGTCATCCTGAAAGCCATGGGACATCCTAGAAATGCCTGAAAGATGTGCACGGGAACACACGAGAAGGGAGAGGCCGAGACAGTGGTCCTTCAAAGCACCCCACACTAATCTCCACATGCCATGGGGACCCCGTGGCCAGAGATACCCTGAACCAGGTGTGTATGGCTGACTCTATGCCACCAGGGTCCTTGCAAGACCCAGCAACCCCTCCCTCTTCTCTTTCCTGACTCTCCTGCACCCACCAGAAAGAAGGCTCCAGCACAAATACACTGGTACCACCTTCTGGGTGTGACTGTGACAAGCACACACCTGTCTGCCCTGGTGGCCAAAGACTCCATGCTGTTGATGGTGCACCTGCAGAGTTGTTCAGTTAAGACCTCCATGCTAATGTGTGGGGTTTGAAGTTTTTGTGAGATTTTTGTTTTCCATTGGCGAAGGATTCACTTCTCATAAACAGTTACCCAGATATTCACACAGGAATTTCTCTTCCTCTGCTTTTTGCTAAATCCTCACCTTGTAGATAATTACTAGCTCTGGGGTTTGAGGAAAATCACTCCACCTCCCTGGTGGAGACACTCGGATAAGATGGTGATCATTCTAAGCCTTTCAGATGCCAACACGATGGAGTTTGTAAGGGTTCTTTATCCAGGTGTGCAAAACACTACATGTGTGTGTCTGGTGTGTGGTATCCAGGGCCCAGGTGTGGTGAGGCTTGGGTCGGAATCCTGCATCTCCTCTTTAGCAGCTCAGGAATTCAGTTTATTTGTCTATAAAACTTGGATGTAAAAAGCTCCATCTTACTGGGAAGGGGATCTGGGAATGGGGAAGATGGGAAGAAAGGGAGAGGAAGGAGAAGTAAAAAGGACCAAGATGCGCTATGTACCTATGGCAGTTCCCCACTGTGTATATACTTACTATGTGTGTCATAAACATATACTAATAAAAGGGGGAAGTTCCACTGCACGACTTGAAAGCAGAGAGAATGCACCTGTGAGCACTTAGTGCGAAGACCTGGCCTTTGGAAAGTGGATTCCTTCCCACGTCCTTCCCTTCTGGGTAGGGAAGCAACTTTGGCAAGTATTTCACACTGGAGATTTCAGACTATCATTAGCAAATCTTGCCTTTTCAAGAGTTTAAGAATAATCTCAAATGCAGTGTTATCTCTAGAAAAAGAAAATCCTAGATAATCTCAACTGTTTGAGGCTGTTAAACAGCTGGGCTTAAAGTGTTAATTTTATTTAGCTTTAATTTTTGGTAGAGGTGAGTAGGAAGAAGCAAAAAAATCCAATGTTTTATGGCATCACCTTCTCAGAATAACCTTTCCCACTAAACTCAAGATGAAAAAGATCATTCTTTCGAAAATTCTCCCCTCCACCCCCGTCCCCCCATACTGGGATCAAACTCAGGACCTTGCACTTTCAGGCAGGTGAGGTGCCACTGAGCTAAATCCCAGGCCCAATTCTTTCTAAAATTCTAATTTATCCTATTTGTTATCTCCTTTATCCTGCCTGTGTGGAGTTTTTGCCCTTCCTATTCTTAGATCATTAGCGAATTCTGATAGGAGACGAGATTGTAAATATCTTAACAAGTGCTCCAGGAAGGGGAGAAAAGAAACATTTCGTTTAACAATTTTGATCTGATGACTCACCCTTGCTCTTGTAAGGATATTTTAGAACAATGGTTGTCAGCCCTGGCTTCCTAAACCTGAAGCGAATCTGATTTTTTGTTTGTTTTGAGACAGGGTTCCTCTGTGTAGCCCAGGCTGGGCTCAAACTTGAGACCCTGCTGCCCCATCCTCTTAAGTGCTAAGATCACAGGTGTGCACCACCACCCCAGCTCCAATTAATTACTTCTAATTAAAATGGTTTCTAAACAAAATATAGTATCTAATGAAAGCTAAACTATGGCAAAATAGCCATTCTCATACATAGCTTATCATAAGTAGAAAAACCCTTTGGAAAAGCAACTTAGCAATTAAGTATTAAGCCTCTAATTGTCCTCTTTGGAGAATTCTCTTTCTGGGAACCTCTCTTACTTTAGAGAGGGAGGAAGTACATTTAGGAAACAGATACATGCACAAATAAGCTTATCATGGTGTTATTTTATAATAGTAAAGAAATATGGGAAACAACCTAGTAACACAAGCTAAGTTATATAACCATGGTATATCCACCAGATGAATTTGTTTACAAGGTGTCTTCCAAAAGCTAAATATCAAAGCATTTATGCAATCTTATCAAAGTTGCTTTTGTCTTTTTTTTTTTAGACATGATCTTGCTAAATTGCACAGGCCAGGCTTGAATTTGTAATCCTCCTGCTCAGCCTATCAGAGTGCTGGGCTTACAGGCGTGTGTAAGCACATTCAGCTATTTTTTTCAAAGACAAGCAAAATAAGAAATCTTCAAAATTCCTTTCCTGAAGGAAATAGGCCAAATTGTGATAGTGTCAGGTTTTTAGTGATAAAAGATATAGAGTGACTTTTCTTTCTCTGTATTCATATTATTTTCAGGCTCATCCTAAGGACTTTTCTAATCAGTTAAAAGAGTAACAATAAAAACATTTTATATAAGAAAGTAAACAAACCTAGAGACACCATATAGAATCCTTGGGTTTGGGAGATGGCTGAGAATGAAATAATTCAGACTTTTAAAATACAACAGATTGTTTCAATTCCAAAAACAGGATGGGGCTGGCTGCTGAGGAGCCTGTGTGTCCTCCTCCTGTCCTCAAGCTTGCTGTTTCCTCTCCGGGACCTTGGAGAGGCCTGGAGTCTCTTCTCCCAGGTGCCCTGACATCCTGAAGCCGGGCACCTGGTGCTGTGCATGCCTGGTGCAGTGAGGACTATACATACATGTGATCCCAAGTTGAAACACAGCGTTTATTAAGTGTGTCCCTCTGCTGGCACTGTACCTTTCCCAGGTTTGCAAAGCTCTTCCTAAAAGGAACTATTGTCTCCTTCTTCCTCCCCCCTCCTCCTTGCTCCTACCCACACAGAGAGCGGCTTTTAGGAATATAACTGATTTGGATGATGGGCAGCCTGGGCTGTCCTTTGTTAGAAATAAAGCCTCCCGGGCTGCCTGAAGAGTTGACTAGGCAAACAACTTCAGGTGGTCAGGGCAGGGAAGGTTCCAGGAGCAGAGCCCAGAACACCCCACGGGGCTTCTCCTCTCTGTGATGTGGCTTGTTGGCTTTACAGGCTTCAAACATATTTGCTGACGTCAGCAGCTCATCAAAGTTTAAAATAATAACAGTGAAAAGGAAAACAGCTCCTTCCTGCCAGGCAGTTGGTCCTCTCTTGCCAAATTCTGTCTTTTTTCTGAGTTAATAAACATCCGAGAACCACCTCCCCTCCCACCTTGGGGGTGGAGCACAATAATTTAAAAACCACCAGGTCAGCCCATTGCCAGCCGAAGCCATACAGACAAGAGGCATTGGTCACACAAGAATGAAGATTTCATCTCAGCCTCAAAATGAAAGCTATTGTTGGCTTTGTGCTTATGGGATTGAACAATTGAACATGGTGGGTTTCTTCCAGGCCCATCCTCATTGTCATCATGCTCAAGATCAAACACATGGATGTTTCTGAATCAGATGTAACTTTAAAAATAATAATAATAATCATGCCACATAAGGTCTTTGGCAAACATCAAATTAGAAAACAGTCTTTTAATTCTGGTTTTACTTGAAAATCTGAAAACAGGCACGTGTGCTGTAATACCACGGCAGTGGTGGTGGAGGTGAGGCCGTCCGTCCCTCAGAAGGTCAGGCTCCTGTGGCAGCAGACAGAGGATCTGGGCCTCCAGAAAGCAAGGCCTCTGGAGTTATCTTCACATGTCGGCCTGACACTGGCGCTGGTCTCTCACAGTTGGGCTCAGTGCAACTCCGGCACCGACCTGGCACCACACGTGCAACCCACTGTTGCTACCTCCTCAGGACAGATTAGATCCCAAATTCCTCAGAAGTCCTGAGCTCCAGAAGGAGGCCCTCCAGGCAAGCAGCTACCACTGATAAGCCTTAACTGAAATAACTGCAACAATTATCCTAAGAGCTGACCAGCTCTACCATTAGCTTCAGAGAAGGTGACCCCCTCCATGTCCCCTAGCAGGGCACAGGTGTGTGCCAGACAAGGGCAGGTCAAGGCCTCGGCTCACTTTCATATGCATTTCTCCATAGCCGTGTTCTGGGGTTAATCCAAGAGCTCACCCCAGGTGTATTATGAGACTTCATACTTTTTTTTTTGCCCTAATCAAGAAAACCTTGACATTGACACTACTTTAAATTTGAACAAGTAAATCACCTCTGACCAGAGATACTGAAGTTAGACTTGGGTTTGGGTAAAATGAGTTGAGGTCATGGTTAGTTGTAATTACAGGGCTGTTTAAAAGCTGAACACCATGCAAAGATCTTTGCTTTCAAGTTTTAGTTTAAAGTGGTGCTCGTTAAAACAGCGTGTGGAAAGTGAGTTCTGTGACTCCCCTTTTATTTTATTTTTTTTTTCTGAAATAACAGCGATTGAGTCAATGAAGGAGCAATATGAACTAAAGGACAACACACCTGCCTCTCAAAGAACAAATCCCAAAGGGCTCAGATTAAATTTTAACCAGGAATTATGTTTGCCAGGATTTTAAATCTCAAACGGGTTATGTTTGGCTTCTGTCATAATAAACGGTAATTTTTGAAAAAGGCTCCCACTTTAACATGTATTGTATTTACCAGACGGAAATACAGAGTTAGACTTCGATACAGTTTAGCCTTTGAACAAAAATAAAAGGCAAGTAATTCAGCAGATGGGCAGTTCCCCAGTCTGAAGAAATGTAAACAGCCAGGATTTTGGTGCCTAAGGGTTTTATCAAAGATGTTCAGTAAGGCTGGGACCAACACCAGTGCGTCCTCTTTGGCTAGTTTTAACACGTTTACAGTCACAATTAACATTCAAGGAATTTCCTTTTCATCCAAGTGTTTCTCCTAAGAGCACTTTATGTCACCAACTACAGTTCTAGCTGCCATCAGTCCTTCCCATACAGAAGAGTGGTGAAATCTCCATAATACTTTTTTTTCAGTTTTGAAAATGGGCTCGGACCACGTCAACTTCCCAGGAGTGCTTGTTTTCCAATAATGTGTGTGGGTTTGGGGAGGGGGGCGGGTCCTCAACTCCTCACTCCTTTCCCTCCAAAGAGGTTGGAATGGAGCCCGGTCTCCTCGCCCCACACTCAACTCCGGAGGCAGAAGGGCGCCGCCGCCCGCGGCCCGGCAGGGCCCCCAGCCCTCCCCGACCGCCCGAGTGAGATTTCAGATGGGAGCGCGGCGGCCTCCTCCAAGGAGCTCCCGGCTCCCGGAAGCCTGATTCAAGTCTCTGAGCAGCCCGGCCAATGCACGCTGCGAGACAGGAAGACATTGCGTCTCCCTCCTTGCTCCTCCTACACGAGGGACTCGCACACCGGCACGGAGTCCGAGTCCTGGCTGTGCATGGAGCTCAGCCCCGTGTCCGAGTCCTCGTCGTTGCCAGGACAGCTCTTGGCCAGTCCGCGGGCCTGGTCCACCCACACCTCGGCACAGGCTTTAGGCCGGGGTTCCCGCGCGGGTGGGCCGGGGCTGGGAGCCCCATCCCGCCCCACCGTCGGTTCCAAATTGTGCAGAGTCCGGAGGAGGCCCTGCAGCTCACGCTCCTTGCTGTCCCGCTGCTGCTGGCTGTAATCCAAGTCCGCCTTGACGGTCTCCAGGTCCGTGTTGAGCCGCAGCCCGATGTAAAGGCTGGTGCTGAGCTGGGTCCTGACCCGCTCCTGCTCCAGCAGCAGCTCGCCGTCCGGGCCGCCGTCAGGCTCCGGGGGCTCCTCGCGCGCCGCCAGCTCCTCCTTGCGCCGCTCCATCCACCTCTGGTTCAGCTCCTCCTGGATCTCGGTCGAGAGGCGCTCCAGCACCTCCTCCTGCTGGGCTCGCTGCTCCTGCAGCTGCAGCAGGTCGTCGCAGCGCCGGGCCAACTCTTCCAGCGCCGCCGCCTGCGCCTCACTGTCCAGGGGCGCAGCTGCCGCCGCCTCCTTCCCCGGCTCCTCTCCCGGGGTGGGCCCGTCCAGCTCAACGTCCACCCCCACCAAGTAAGTGTCCTGCACGTAGTTAACCCCGTGCCGCCGCATGCGGTCCAAGTGCACCTTGGCTTCGTAGCGGTCGATCTCGCGGTCCAGCTCCCGGAGCCGCTGCACCTGCTGGCGGATGGTGTGGTCCTGCGACAGCACCAGGTGCACCAGCGTCTCCATGCGCTCCACCGACGCACTTTCAGGGGCGCGCGGCGGCGGGGAGTAGGACGAGGCGGTGGACGACGACGTGGACGAACAGGGTGACGGCGGCTGCAGCTGGCGCCGCCGGTTGAGCTTAGCCAGCTTGCGGAAGGCCTTGCGCACCACCCGCCGCTGTTTCTCCTGGGTCATGGCCAGGCTGGGCCGAACAGGGGCTCCGCGGACCAAGCAGGGGCGCTCCCGGCTGAGCACCACCCGCGCCTCGGCACTGCGCGGGCCCGCGTTGGGCAAGGACGCCTCGCTGCGCACCAGCACGAAGCGCACGTTCTCTTGCTCGTCGCCCCAGGCGGCCCAGAGGCGCAAGATGCGCGTCTTGTTGGGCAGGATGCGCTCAAAGCCGCGCCACTTCTCCACGATGCAATAGCACTGCGGGGGCCCACACAGCATGCCCTGGGGCAGCGCCTCGTCATCCTCCTCGTCGTTTTCTTCCAGGGATTCGGGCAATTCTCCCTGGTCGGGCGGGTCACCGGCCCTCCCCCGGCGCTGGCCCCCCCGCTGACCCCGGCGCCGCCGGCAGCCGTCCTCCAAGAGCACGCGCACCACGTCCGAGCAAGTGGTGCGGCGGGAGAGGCCGGACACCAGCTTCTCCTGCTGACAGATCCACACGGAGATCTTCTTCTCCGAGGGATCCATGGCGCAGTACGGACGCCAATGGCAGGTCCAGCCGGGCCCCGTTTGGGCAGCGCCGCCCTGGGATTGTAGAATCCGTGGCCCCGTCCCCGGCGACGCTGGCCTCTCTCTCCGGCTGCGCAGGAAAGGCGGGCGCCGGCGCTGCGCTCGGCCCGGACGGCTGGCACTCCGGAGGCCGCGCGCCCGGGCTCGGGCTCCCGCTGCTCTGGCTCTGCCCCCGTGCCCGAGGCCTCCGGGTTTTGCTCCTCCCCGCGTGGCTCCACCCCTTCCCGCCCCCAGCGCCCAGAGCTGCGGCCAGGAGCCCTGGAGGCGCGGCGCCGACACTCGCCCCTCCCAGCCTCCCCGCGCCCCGCCTGCCTCTCGCTCGCGTCGCTGACGTCCCGGGTCCAACTCTGAGCTCCTCCGCGAGCCAATGCCAGGAGGGACTCGGGAGTCTCCGACCAGGACCTGGAGCTCGCGCCTCCGCGGTTATCAGCACCCCGCCCCTTTCCTCTGGAGGTGGCTGGATCCACCTTGACCAGACTTTTGCACCTTCTCGCTCCTCCAGGGCATCGCTGGCTGAGAAGTGCCCTTTGCACAGTAGGGAAACTGAGGCATCCAGTGATCTCTAACCGAGACGCTGTAATCGCGTTGCTTGATGAGCCAGGAGAGGGAAGCGCTGCCTCTAAGCGGAAGACCTTCCAGTCTTCCCTGACAGGAAGCAATATTTGCGTATTTAAGAAGGAAGAGCAGGGGCTCCTTGAGCTTCTGTGTGTTTGGAAAGGTCCAGGCTAGAGAGAAGCCTTAGGAGGTGGCTCCTACTTACCCGCAGGCCGTGCCTGTGGGACCCTACAGCACTCCTTCCCACTCCCTTCTGGGCAGGGAAACTCCTAACTGTAGAGGGACTTTGGGGCCCAGACCCAAGTTACATGCTCTTTCAGCGTCCCACTGCCATAAGGGGAGACCCAGGTCTTTACCTGGACGGTTTCTGGCGTCTCCTGGTATCCAGACATGGTCCAGATGAGATAAGATCCACACTTCACAACATGCAAAATTCACAGCCACCATGAAGTCCTGTCATCCCAGCCGCCGATGAGAATGGTCCCTTTCGTGCAAGGGTTGCTCTGAGCTGGTCCCGGGAGCAGATGTGATAAGCTCAGCCCCTTGCTTCCAGACCTCGGATGGCTCCTCATTGCTTCTTGGGTAAATCCACCGATTCATTCAGTAAATGTTTACTGAGTTCCTCCTGTGCTCCACATCCTGAGCTAGGGATTGGATGAGGAACAATTCACCATTCCGGGCTTGCAAGGAGCTCACCATCTAGTGACCAGCACAGATGAGGAAACAGTTCTAACACAGTGGCTTCTGGATTCTGCTAAGGAAGGCCAGAAGGTGTGAAGAGAGCCTACCTGGGTAATACAGTGGCATCCAGCCCCATCTGGGAAAAATCAAGGCTTCCCACTGGGCATTGCATCTTGGGCAGACCCAAAGAACCACTTGTGGAAGGAAAGATAAATGAAGGGGAGGGTAGAACACATTCCGGGCTGGAAGAACCAATGAGCAGTCAAGGAGACAGAGAACATGGCAGTTACTGGGGCTGTAAAGAGTTTACCTGAGATGCAGAGAACATGGGAGTCACTGGGGCTGTAAAGAGTTTACCTGAGACACATGCCTAACAAAAGCTGGGTGTCGAGCAGGAACCAGATCAGGAAGAGGCTTTCATTCCATGCATCTGTATTTGAATTTATCCCAAGGACAAGAAGTTAGTGTAGATGCTGGGGTCAGGCAGGTTGCTTATTTAACTGTGACCTTAGGAAAAGTATTTACTCCCCCTGAGCCTCAGTTATCTCATCTATGAAATGGTGGTAATAAAAATACTTGCTTAATAGGACTGTTTCAAGGACCAAACGCCTGGACCTGTAAGTCCACAATGGTTTTATTGGAGGGTTGGAAACCTGGGAGGTATATTAGTATCCTACTGCTATCCAGTACACTACCACAAACTTGGTGGCTTGGAACAACACCCATGTGTGATTTCACCTTTCTGTTTGTCACAAGTCTTGCTTGGTGTGGCTGCTGGGTATTCTGCCCAGCTTATCCCAAGCCAAAGGCAAGGTGCCAGCTGGTTTGAGTCCTGGGGGGAAAATCCATTTTAAAACTCATTCATATTGTTTTAGAATCCAGTTCCTTTCAGTTGTAGGACTGAAGTCCCCATTTTCTTAGTGGCTGTCAGTGGAGTCTCATCTTCTAACGGCCATTTACAGGCCTTCCCACGAGCTACTCCCTTCCCCACTTTAAATCAGCAAAGGCAGCTGGAGTTGATCCAGTCCTCCTTTGCATCCAGTCTGCCTGATGTCCTCTTCCTACCACTGGCTGGATAAAGCTTTGCTTTTAAAGGGCTTGCTTTGCCAGGTATGGTGGCTCACACTCATAATCCCAGTGCTCCAGGAGGGTGGGGCAGAAGGATGGTGAGTTTGAGCCCAGTCAGGGTGACTTAGAGAGACCCTGTCTCAAATTTTTTAAATTTTTAGAAGGGGCTGGGAATGCAGCTCGGTGTGAAGGCCCTAGGTTCAAGCCCCAGTGCTGGAAAACAAACAGCTTGCTTCATTAGGCAAACCCTAATGAAACCTGTACACTTCATCCTGAGGCCAACTGATTAGCCACCCCAACTACTCTCTGCAAAAGCCCTTTTTCTGTGCAGTGTAACACAGCCAGGAGAGTGACACCAGGGGAATGGAGGTCAGCCTAGAATTCTCCCCAGCACAGGACATGACGTGATGAGATTTTCACTCTTAAAAGATTGCTGTTTGCATTGGGAATGATGCGGGAGAGTCGGGTGGGGAAACCCTTTAGAACAGCAGCCCCCCAACTTCTTTGGTGCCAGGGACAAGTTTCATGGAAGGAAATTTTTCCACAAAGAGGGGTTGGAGGTTGGGGAGGATTCAGAGGAGCACACAGCCTACATCCCTCTCCTGTGTAGATCACAGTCAGGTTCTCGCTCCTCTGATCTGCAAGGAGGTGCAGCTCAGGCGGCAATGAAAGTTCATTTCCTACTATGTAGACAGGGTCCTAATAGGCCAGGGTCTGGTACCTCTGTGGGGGACCTCTGCTTTAGAAGACTGTCATGTTCATTGAAGGACGCGGTAGTGGCCTATGCTGAGCATAGTGGTGGTGGGAGGATTGGACAAAATTGAGAGCTATCAAGGACGGGGAGAAGCAGGACTTGGTGACAGACTGAGGGGTCTCCTGTCCCTGGCATGATGGCAGACGCCTCTTGAAATTGGACCAGCCCACCACCCCCAACTCCTCCCACACATGCTAGGGTTGTGCTTCCTCCTTTCATCTCACACATGCTTGTTAGAGCTCTCTAATCAGCTGCCATCCCTAGTGGATTTTAAGCTCCACAAAGGTCTGTTTTGCTTACCTTTGAATCCTCCGCATTTAGCACAATGTCTGACACATGCTAGGTTTTTTCAGTAGCTGTTCAATACATAAATGGGTCAATGAAGGTATCCTGCATTCTAGCGAGTCAACACCTCCCTATCTGGAGTAGCTTCTGCATCTTCAGCATCTGTGCTTTTCCTGCTAGTTAGGATCACTCTTAAACACTTCGAAAACTCCTCCTTCAGAAGCTCAGCTCAAAGTCCACCTGCCCTGCAGTTCTTTCTTTCCTCCTCCAGAGAGAACTGGGTTCTTGCTCTTCTTTTGTCCCTGCGAATGCAGAGGTTTCATTGCTGCAGTGCACTTTTTAATGTCTGTTTACCCAGATAGGCTGAGAGCTTTCCAAGGAAAAGGACTGACTCTGTCTTACTTGTACAGTAGTCTTCTGAGCCGAAGCACCCCCAACATGGCAGGCTCTCGAACTTTTCCTGTGCTCCCTGGAACACTATGATGCATAATTAAGATGCTGCCCTCATGGCAACTTCCTCCTAGGCATGGACAGATATGTGAAATCCCTGGGCCAGGAGTGATACAGATGAAATTGCTGCTGGGCTAATGAAAGGATAGAATGATTGATGGGTCCTGGGAAGGTTGGAGGCGACAGAGCTTCAGTAAATGAAGAGGAGGGGTTGAGGGCCTCTGTGGCGGGAGAAGACATGAATTAAAATGCTAAGATGAGTGTGCATACGGTCATGTATCAGAGTTGCAGGGGCACATTCTGGGGTCACCTTGCTTAAATTTGAATACCAGCTTGGGGGTATAGGAAAAACCCATCTCTGTTTCTCCTATGCTCTCACTCAACACTCAGCACAGCAGACTCCCGAAACAGAGTGGGGAGGGTCCTCCCCCGAATCAAGCAATCAATTCTGCAGCAGCCACCAGCTGGGCATCTTCTAATTCAATTTAATTCTGACCCTCTCTACTTGGAGACAGCATCAGATCCATAGGCTTATGCTCAGCCCCTAAGACTGTTCCCCTAAGTCAGATGCCAGTCACAATCTGTGCTTCTGACTGATCAGCTATCAACCATGGTTCCCACGTCCTCCCTTTCGGTGTGATTAACTTGCTGTAGACCTCACAAAATGTAGGGAAATGCTTAAGATTGCTAATTTTTTAATAAAGGACATTATAAAGGCTACCGATGAACATCAGATGAAGAGATTAATGGGCCAAGATATGGGGGGGGGGTTGGGGGCTTCCATGGTTTCTCCAGCAGCACCACCCTCCAGAAACCTCCCTGTGTTCAGCTCCAAACCCTGCCCTCCTGGAGTTTTATAGAAGCTTCCTTCTGTGGGCAGGACTGATGAAGCCGCTGGCATCAGTGGCCAACTTAACCTCCTGCCTCTCTCTCCTGCCAGGAGGCTGAGGAGTGGGGCTGAAAGTTCCGGCCCTCTGAGCACAGTGGCCGGTTCCTCTGACAACCAGCCCCCATCCTGTATTTATCTAGAGAATTTCCCCCCAATCCTCTCCTTAACAGAAGGTCAGGCGTGTTAGAAAGAACTTGCAAAAAACAAAAGACTGCCTTCTACCCTTGCCACCGTGAAGCCATTCTGTAGCTGCTTCAAGAATCAAGGACAAAAGGCCCAATGTTTCCATTCAAAATACGATTATTGCTCTAAGTCATTTAGGAAATTACAAAGATTGTAGGATCTGTGAACCAGGAACCGTGAACAGAAATGGAAATATGTACAGTCATGTGCTGCATAATTACACTTACCTCAATGACAGACCACATATAGGAGGGCGGTCCCATGAGATCACAAGGGAGCTGAAAAATTCCTATTG